TTTCAAGAAGCGGCAGGTAGGTTTGAACCAGCAACCTTGTGGTTAACAATCCAGGTAGCTGGGGAGATTTTCATTGGTCCTGTGTGGACATCTTCACTTTGCCTCTTGCGTACATGTAGTGCTTCTCTAGGATGTAAGTGTCCAGTGCACAGCGGCTGGGTATCAGTGTACTTGATGTGGCCAATGTTCTTCAGAGAAACTACTCATACTTGCTTTTCTTGGTGGTGGCGGTGGGGTCAGAGCCAGAAAGATTAAGTTTAATGTTATTGTTAAGTCAGAGCCATCAACTCTGACTCATAGAACCTGGTGTAGGATTTCCATGGCTTTACATCTTTGTGGAAGAAGCCTCATCTTTCTCCCACAAAGTGGCTGGGGTCTCCAAATGAACACTTGGCTAGATTTCATTTACCAAAGTGCTGAGAGAGAGAGGTAGGCAGAGCAGGTTATTGGCCGTCATCAGCAACATTTTGAAGAGGACGAATCCGTGTCATGGAGACAGGCACTGGCGAAGTGTCACGGGGGACTCAGTCCAGTTCCTTATTAGCTCTGACATTGTTAAGATTTCGTTCTTAATGTGGCCCTCTCTATCCCCCAGGGACCTGATGCACAGCTAATTAGGGCACGCTGTTCTCCAGGAAACAGGTGAGCACAACACAGAGAGGCCCATTTTCTTCTTTGACCTCACTCATACTGCTTTAGAGCAATGCGAAGGTAGCAGATGCCCTGGAAATCTGACCCACCCACCTGGGACCTGAAGGAGAACCGGAGTGGATGGTAAGAGTCAGGCCAGGAGCATGCAGTTCAGAAAAGGCCCTTGGGACATCCTCTCAGCCGTACTGTGCCCCCCCCGTAGTATTGCCAAACTGCCTCTTAGCACTGACTCAGTCTTTCCATCTCCCTGCCAACATTTTCTAGGCAATTCCCAACTTCTGGAAGAAGGGACAGTTTCCTTTGGGAGTTAGCCAGGAGGTTAGTTTTCACTCAAAGTGGATGTGAACAGCTAGGTAAATATTTCCACTTGTTCTTTAACAGTGTGGGCTCAGTGTGTCTACCTTTTCCAAACAAGACTTTGATGGAAAAGAAACCTCTTGCTTGACGGCCTCACACCTCTGTGGGTGCCCTCCCCGGCCTCCAGTTTGACCAGCCAACTTAATGGTGTGGGCCTGCTTCTCGCTGACATTTCCTTGCACTCTCTTAGCCTACTCTGCCCTCTGCCTGGGGGTGCTGGCTAGAGCAGAGCCGCAGCCCGAGCTCCCTGTGGATGGACAGGCAGGCCTGAGAAGCCCTCCTAGCTCCTGGTTTGCAGCCACTTCGTAGAGAAAGACCAGCTGCCACGAGGACTCCAACTTGCTGGAAATGAGCCCCAGCAGTCATGGGTGAGAGAAGGCGCTTCACAGTCTGGGACTCGGCAGAATGGTCTCCTCATTGGAACAAGGCCAGCATCGCAGGAGATGGTGGACCCACTCCGAGCCCAGCGCTCCTCACCCCCTCCCAGCCGATCACCTGTAGGGTGGGGAGGCTGCCCACTCTCCCAGAGCCCAATTCTGTCTCCCTGGGACAATGTTAAAGCTTATAAAAAAACTCAAATCTCCCTGTAAGTAGAGAGAATATGTAATGAGTTGGATGTACTCCTCACCCAGCTTCAACAACTCATGGTACATCTGGTTTCATCTCTATCCCCACCCACTCCTCTGGAAAAACTCAAAAGACCAAATAGAGAAAGTTTGGTTGGTTTACTGAGGTATGGCTGGCTGACCCGTCACCCATTCCCTGTTGCCTGTCTTCCACAACAGAGGCTAGAAACGCTAACCACTCATTTTCCTAACCTCTCTTGAAGCTAGGGGTGGTCATGTGACCCAGTTATGGCCAATCTCATTGTAAAATGATACTTGTAGCTACTTCAGCACAGGTGGGTTTTAAAGAGATTACACTTAGATTGGAAGGGAGACAGCTGACATAAAGGCAAACGAATTGTAAAAACACGAAAGTCTGTGAATAACAAAGTATCTAGGAAGTTGTGGAAGAACGGTCTGCAACAGGAATGCTGTAAAGGGCTGTGTCTGCCTGTGTCTCTGGGCTGCTACGACAGACGTCCCAACATACACATTGATTCCCTCCCGGCTGAAGAGGCTACAAGTCTGAATTCGGAGTGCAGGCTCTGGACAAAGGTTCGTATCTCCTTTCGGTATCTTGGAAATCTCCATGCGTCCTGGATCTCTGTCTTTCCTTGTATCTCGGAGCTTCACTGTGCATGGACTCCGGAAGAGCATCATCCAGAAGAGGCACTCCACTCTCAGCCATTCTTTCCTGGTGCTATAGGTCTCTCTGAGCTCTGCTCACGTGATTAACCTCTTCTAGATCTCAAAAGAATTGACTCAAGATACAGCCTAATCCTGTAGATTGCATCTGGCCACATTAACATCGTGGAAGTGAGGATCTACAACACACTGAGAATGACATCAGGTCAGAGCTGATCACATCGTGGGAGTGCTTACATCACATCAGATCTCACCCTGGAAGTGATTACTTCATCATAGCTGCTAAACTACTGAGAATCTTGCCTACCCTGGTTGATACAAAACCCTAACTGTGACACCTTGAGAAGCTGCCAGAGTCTGTCAAAAAAAAAAAGACCCTCCAGGGGCTTCTCAGAAGACTCACAGGTGTGTAGAGCCAGCAAGTGGAGGTCAGATCTGTGTGGCAAATCTGCTGGGAAGAGCCTCAGCAGACCTGGAGGCGGCAGACAGGACCTGACCTCCCTATGTAGGTGCAGTGGTACTCTACTCCACAAGAGCACAGGGGAGGTGGGCTAGAGCTGGACCCTGAGCAAGACAAAGCAAGGCAACACATGGCACACAGTAGTAATTCTTGTCGACGTCTTACTTCTGTCTCCTTGTCCAGCAGGAGTGAGAATAGCACAACCACCTGTAATAAAAATCCAGCATGTTCTGGCAACTCCTGTACTGATCTTAGGTTTCGAAGGTGGGGAACATTTGTTAAAAAGAAAAATTCTAACTTGGCATCAGCCCAGTACCATTTATCCTGTAGGACTCCAGGTAATTTTGCAAGCAGGGAGAAAGCTGCAGATGTAATGGGTGCTTACAAACTGTGTGCAACACAGTACTAGAGGCACGCAGACGCAAGAAGGTAGTTGGGGAACGGGTCACCCAAGTGGCACTGAAGTACTGGATACTGCTCCAGAGAGTAACACAGGGGTGGGGCTTTCATAGTGGTCTTGGATGGTCCCTCATGGACATCCTAGCCCCATGAGAATGCTGCAGGTGTTGGGGTAAAGGACGTCCTGGGATTCCGTGCAGGAGCAGGAACTTAATTGAGGCTCACAGACCACCCGTTCTGACACTGACCTAGTGCCCTAGGACCAGAGTGGATGCTAACGGACAGCGTGTGTTCACCTGTAGCTTGTAAACCAACCATCCAGGGCTGTGAGCTGGTTCTTCTTGGTTCAGTTATAGCTGATGACAGGAAACTGGAATGGATTCAACTTTGTAAAGTGTGGGTGTACTGGAATAATAACGGGAATGGGAAAACTTACGGGTCGAGACCCTCTGAGAAAACTGAGCAGTGTGTACACTGCATAGTAACCAAATCTCCTGGGAGGTACAGTTGTCAACAATGGTGGCGGGCTCAGAGATGGACGCTGACGGCTCTGCTGTGAATGAGTGTGACTTTCTGAAGTCCTGGCAGTGTTCCAGCCTCCAACATCAAGCTCCTGGAAGGGCTCACACTTCGGCCTCTTCCAAGCCTCCTTTACAGGGCTCTGACCTGTAGGTTTTCCTGTTCCAATTATCATCTGGTGCACCTACGTTTTGCAAAGTCGGTTCCGATTTTGCTGTACTGGCATGACTGAATCAATTCAAACTGGTTTAAGCTCTGCAACTTTTTCAGTAAGACGGTCCATAACCACAAAACTGTTCTGACAATCAGGCCTTGGTTACCATGATCTCCTGACCACTAACTGGAGGGCTTGATGGGGAGATCTGCTAGATGAGCCTATCATTAGCTCAGTTCAACGCACTGAGGTACCGTACAGTGCTGTGACTCATGCCATACTCAGACTAGACAACAGAGGCTCAAAACTGATACTTGGCCTGAGAATGGGCAAGATTCCAGTCTTTGAAACCCTACTACTTCCCCCCAACTGGTTCATGTTACTTACTGCCCACCCCAAACACACACACATAAAGCCAGGTCCTGGGGCTCTCTCCCCACTGCCCTCCTCACCACAGATCTGTTATTCTCTCAGAATTCTTGATTCTAAGCAGCAGGTTTTGAATTTATTCTGGAAAGAGTATAAAAAAGAAATAGCTCTTCTGACTCTTCTCTGACACACTAAAAACTGAACAGTTACTGAGGTGGGAGCAGATCTGAGGTTGACTTTAACTTTGGGAAGAGGAACAAGGCTGGAGGGAAAAACATCTCTAATTCAGCAAGAAGAGATTCTCATTCTTAGTTTGGGGCTGTAATGACAGGCATCCCACCCATTCAGGGGAGGAAGAGTCCCAGACAGAAGCATGAGCAAATTGAGAACAAAACTGCCCAGGGACTTGGCATTGCCTTCTCAGGGTCCTAGGGAGCAGGGCTGCCTTCAGGAAGAGAGCGCCCCGTGGGCCCAGAGGCTGGGAAACTGTGTGCCCAGGTGGGTCAGCTCTCGTCACTGTGGCCAACAAGCGCTGTGGTAGTCTAGACAGGCCAGGGCTGCGTGGCTCGGCCTCTGTAGCAGACAAAGGGGGAGACAAGGGATGCGGTCATCATCACCAGCCCCTCACAGCACCAACTTTTATTTATTTTTTCTTAAGGACAAACTTTTAAAAAACAAAAATGAATGAAAACATGTGAGGGCAAGGTATGCAGGCAGAACGTCCATGTAGGAGAAAAGACCTGGCTGGGAGGCCTCAAGAAGAGCCCGGAACACTTCACAGACGCACAAGAAGCTCACATTGTAAACAGGATTCAGCTGCTATTGCTTTCTCCTCATAACATCAGGGCTTCATCTTGCTCAGCCGGAGATCTCGCTCAATTTCAAACTGCCTGTGATCCACTCGGTCTAGAAAAGCCTTCCGTTCAATATACCTAGAAGAAGATGAGAAAGATGTCTGTTAAAAGAATCCAGTAAGAGAAAATGCCTCCGCTGCATCCCACCTCCCCTATACAATCTGGCCTGTGTGGCCCAGGGCTGACCACTACAAAACAGCAAACACAACAGATGAAAGGGAGTGCCCACCCATGACTCCTTTAGGAGGAGCCCGACCTTGTCTATAGGAAGATCTGGTTCAGATGTGAAGGACAATAAAATGAATAAGAGAAGGCAACTTATCAAAGGGAAAGGATACAGGAGACTAGGTGGCAGGAAGACACTGCAATTGAGAGAAGAACTTGTTTAGTCAACATGGGTTGAAATCCTACCTAGCCAGTCACCCATTAGCTGGGCAATCACTCAACATCTCTGAGTCTCATTTTCCTCAACAGTGTAACAGTGATGCCTGATTTCCTGGCACTGGTTGCAAACTATTAATCAATATTGTGTTGAGTTGGCTGGAGAGAAAGCTGTTCCTTCTGCATCTATAGATCAAACCGCACACCTGAAAGAAAACAGGAGGGACCTGGTGGGAAGTCCCTCACAGGATTGCTATCAAGGTGAAGTACAGCTGTCCCATCTTAAAACACAGTCGAGTTGTTATGAGCCACACTCACAGCTATCTATTTGGGGAGTGGGGAGGTACGTGTTAATTGTTGTGGTGTGCCATTAAGTGATCCAATGTCGTTTCTGAGAGTGGTTGGTGGGTTTGAACTGCTGACCTTGTGATTATCACTGTTAAGCAGTCCATTTAATAATACGTAAGTTGGTGTGTAAAGTTTCCATCCCCCAAAGACAAACAGCATTATAAAGAGATTGATAAGAATAAAGAAAACTTGAAGACTTAAGAGACAATTAATAAAACGCAGAAATAATGAAAACTACAAAAAAAAAAAAAAAGAGAGATTCGACTTCCGTCAGAAATGACTTAACAATAGCAGAAGCCTGCTGTGAGCTGGGGAGTCCATGTGCATAAAGTGTATCTGCTAGAAGTCAAAATGCCTTTAGCTCTTCCCTTCCCTTCCCTCTTCTCTCCTTGGAAGACAACCTGGGCTCAGGTTGCTTCTGCTGGATGACAGAAGAGGCCTTTCTCTAGACTCCCTAGGAGAATGAGATCAAGTGTCCATGGTCCACACAGGTGACCAGCCTCTATCCTGGGGCGGGGTCAGTGCACACGTCTCCTCAGGTCCTGTGGCATGAAGGAGGGAGCATAGTGCTGAGGCAGGGAGCCGACTGCCCGGAGCCAGGCTGGCTGCTTAATGAAACACAGCTGCACGTTAATGCCCCTCAAAACCATAAAGGCATCAGAGATTTGCCTGGGGTAGGGTGAGGCTGGGGGAAGAGGAGGTCTCTGCTGCTGATTAATCCCTAGAGAGGAAAATTGAGGCTGGTAGTGGGAGTCATGATGGACTCTCTGCTCCCATCAGTCTTTTGTTGCTGTTACAAGGGCATTCCACCAGGGTGAGGAACCTGTGCCTCTGTGGCTCAGGATGTGCGCTCCCTGCCCCCCACAGCCCCCTGGGAAGTCCTGCCCAGCCAAGCCTGCTGCACCAGCCCAACAACTGAGGCCACATGCTCTGTGTTCAAATCCTAATTCTAGGCAAACGACACAATGCTGTCAACTCTCATATTCCTTAAAAAAAAAAAAAGGTAACAGCCTTTCCTTGAAGGGCTGTCATCATGAAGATGCGATGTAATGGTGTTTCCATAAGGCCTGATGAGGGTGCTCCCTCAGTGTATCCGTAAGGCCTGAGGAGGGTGCTCTCTCAGTGTATCCATAAGGCCTGGTGAGGGTTACATCACCAGAGCACAGTCACCAGGGGGTTGGTGCTGGGTGGTGAGGGCTCCCAGTGGAATAATCTAATCTCTTCCTCCCTTTCACAGGCAATTTTACAATAAGGCTTCAAATAAAGTTTGTAGTATTAAAAGAGTATTAAAACAAAATACATTTTTTGCACTAACTTTTTAAAGCCAACTATTATTTTATTAAAAAAATGAAACGGAATGCATAAAGATCCATCAATAACCTAGACATTAAGTAAACTGAAATGGACAGGTACTGGCCATTCTGAATCTGACAATCGTAAGATTTACTAAGCTAGTATTGACAAATTGAAGAGGAATGACATTATATTTATCATTAAAAATTTTTTTCAAGATCTATGTTGAAATACAGTGCTGTCTGTGATAGGATAGTATGTATACATTTACAAAGAATGCAAGTTAATACAACTAGTATTTATATTTACACACCAACCACCAAACCAAATGACGAAGAAATTGAAGAATTCTACCAACTTCTTTAGTCTGAAATTGATCAAATATGCAATTAAAATGCACTGATAATTACTGGTGATTGGAATGCAAGAGTAGGAAACAAAGAGGAAGGATCAGTAGTTTGAAATATCCCTTTGGTGACAGAAATGTCACTGGAGAACACTGATAGAATTTTGCCAGACCAGGGACTTATTCACTGCAATTATCTGCTTTCAGCATAAATGCCAACTATACACATGGACCTCACCAGATGTAAATCACAGGAATCAAATTGACTACATCTGTGGGAAGAGATGATGGAAAAGCTCAAAACAAGGCCATGGGCTGACTGTGGAGCAGACCACTAACTGCTCACATGCAAGTTCACACTGGAGCTGAAGAAAATTAAAACAAGTCCACAGGAGCCAAAACACAACCCTGAGTATACATCAACTGAATTTAGAGGCCATCCTCAAGAACAGAGTTGATGCATTGAACACTAATAACCACAGACCAAGAAGAACTGTGGGACAACATCAAGAAGACTGTATGTGATAAAAGCAAAAGGTCATTAAAAAGACAGGAAAGAGAAGACCAAAGTGGATGTCAGAAGAGACTCTGAAATTTGCTCTTGAATGTAGAGCAGCTAAAGCAAGTGAAAGAAATGATGAAGTTACAGAACCAAACAAAAAATTTCAAAGGACAATTCAAGAAGATAAAGTAAAATATTATAATGAAATGCACAAAGATCTGGAGTTAGAAAATCAAAAGGGAAGAACACACTCAGCACTTCTCAAGCTGAAAAGAACTGAGAAAAAATTCATACCTCAACTTGCAACATTGAAGGATTCTATAAGGAGCCTTGGTATGGTGCTGTGGGATAATGCACCAGACTGCAAGCCGTTTGAACTGCAAGGTTGGTGGTTCAAACTCACCAGCTGCTCCTCAGAAACCCTATACAAGGTTGCTATGGGTCAGAACCGATTCGATGGCGCTTCACAACAACATTAGCAAAATACTGACTGATGTAGAAAGTATCAAGATCCAATGGTACGGAAGGAAGAAGTCTAAGCAGTATTGAAGGCATTAGCAGAAAACAAGGCTCCAGGAATTGATGGAATACCAACTGAAATGTTTCAACACACTGATACGGAGCTGGAAGTACTCACTAGTCTATGCCAAGAAATTTGGAAGATTTAGTCAACTGACTGGAAGTGATCCATATTTACGCCATTCCAAAGGAAGGTGGTGACCCAACACAATGTGGAAAGTCTCAAACAGTATCAACAATACCACACACAAGTGAAACTTAGATGGAGACAATGAAAACGTGGTTGCAGCAGCACATTGACAGGGAGTTGCCAGAAATTCAAGCTGGATTCAGAAGACACGCAACAAGGAATATTACTGTTGATGTTAAATAGATCTTGGCTGAAAGCAGATAATAATGGAAAGATGTTTACTTGTGTTTTATCCGCTATGCAAAAGCATTTAACTATGTGGATCATACCTAACTATGGATAACAATGCAAGGAATGGGAATTCCAGAACAATTATGTTCCTGCAGAACCTGTACATAGACCACGAGGCAGTGACTCACAGGGAACAAGGAGATAATGCCTAGTTTAAAATCAGGAAAGGTCTGTGTCAGAGTTGTGTGTGTTCTTTTACCATACGTATTCAATCTGTAATGCTGAGCAAATAATGCAAGAAGCCGGGCTATATGAAGAATGTGGTCTCAGGATTAGAGGAAGGCTCATTAACAATCTGTGATACACAATGACAAAACTTACCTTCTTGAAAGTATAAAGGACTTGAAACGCTTGCTTATAAATATCAAAGAATATAGCCTTCAGTATGGATTGCATCTCAGTGTAAAGTAAACAAAATCCTCACACTGGACCAATAAACATCATGATAAACAGAGAAAAAAACTGAAGGTGTCAAATAATTTCACTTTACTTGGATACAAAATCAATGCTCATAGAAGCAATAGTTAAAAAATCAAAGTGATGAATTGCACTGGACAAATGTGCAAAAGATCTCTTTAAAGTGTTAAAGAGCAAAGATGTCACTTTGAGGACTAAGGTGGTCCTGACTCATGCCATGGTATTTTCAATCGCTTCATATGTATGTGAAAGTTGGACAGTGCATAAGGAAGACTGGTGAAGAATTGATGCCTCTGAATTATGGTGCTGGCAAAGAATCCTGAAAGTACCATGAACTGCTAGAAAAACAGATCTGTCTTGGAAGAAGTACAGTCAGAATGCTCCTTAGAAGCCATGATGCTGAGACTTCGGCTCTCATCCTTTGGCTGTTTTGTCAGGAGGGGCTAGTCCCTGGAAAAGGAGATCATGCTTGGTCGAGGGTCAGTGAAAAAGAGGAAGACCCCCAACCCCAACAAGATGGACTGACACAGTTGTTTTCACAGCTCAAACCTAACAATGGTGAGGGCTAGAGCAGGAGCACGTAGTGTTTTGGTCTGTTGTGCACAGGGTTGCTATGAGTAGGAGACGATGTGACAGCACCTAACAACAACAACAACAACAACAACAGCATTTTATTCTAAGGAGGCAGTTACCCAACCAGCAGTGTTGGGGGTGGCTCAGACATAGCAAAGACTCTGAGTCAGAAGAAAGTTCACAAACAGCCTGCTTCCTGAACCTGTGCAGCCGTGGCTGGAGCGGCCAACCTCTCCTCCTGGTCTTGTCACCCCACTAGCCATTGGAGGGAGAAACAT